TTTTTGGGTGAACTATCCCTTTAAGTCATGATTTTTATGGGGAGCAGCCATCAACAGCGTGCTACAATAACATCTGGACAAAGCATATACAGTCATCCTTTTTACAATTTTGGTCAATTTAAAGTTCAAAAGCAGTGTTAAAAAAGGAAATGCCATCATGACACAAACTTAAATAAATATGGGAGTACCTGGGCTAGTTGTCACACTTTATACTCAAATCAGTATTTCCCAGGGTAGATTATGTAGACATTATGTAGAAACTCTTATGATTTTCTTGCTTCCACTGAAGCTCAAGTGAATTTTACTCAAATTACTCTGCTGATCATCAATTTCCTTTTGTATAAAATTTTTAAAAAGAAGCCAAAATAAAAACATCTCAGACTGAGTTGTCACACTTTATACTCAAATCAGTATTTCCCAGGGTAGATTTATCAGGAAAGTCAACTTCAATAGACACAGATCTAAAGTCTTGGCTACAAAGAAGCCCTTGATATAAAGTAACAACAGATATGAACTATTTGCTCTTGTCCTCAGAGCAGAGTTCAATCATTCAGTTCATTTTTTCCACCTTCAGTACATAGTTGACACTTGCCTGACTGTGTAGTTTATTGTGTTCACTTTTAAAGTTAATACAAAAATAGATGATTGAAATCACACAAGGCCACTGGAAAATCTCCAGTGACACTGCAAAATAAACCATACTGCATGTCAATGTGAGTTTGCAAAGAGACAATGTACTGCAAAAAATTTTTTACCAGGAAAACACTTCTTTTTGTAGAGTTATGCTTGTGGTCTGCACATAAAAACAAACACACGGCACAACCAGTGCAGTTTTATGAACTTCAAAGTCTTCTGGACATAAAAAGAAGTCTTATCAAACCATCAATGAATAAACACATTTAAACATATAATGAAGAATTGTGATTGGCTGTGGGCCTGCAGCTCCACACAAGCTCACCTGTGATAGTCCTTCACGCAGTAGATCTTGTTCTCTGTGTCCACAGTGAAAGGCACTCCATCCAGACTCTCATTACAGATGGCGCAGCGGAAGCAGCCTGGGTGGTAAGACTTTCCCAGCGCCTGCAGGATCTGAAGAGGAACACCATGTTCACATGCTGCCAAACAACACACAACCAACAGCGACACATTTTGTGTGTGTGATATGCCTCCTCTCATGACAGTATGACTCTATGAGAGGAGATGGGCATCCATGTGTGAGAAAACATATTTATATTTAATGTTTTTAAGTACTATGTACTAACATTTAAATTAATAATTTAAAGGTAGGGTAAACGATTTCTGGTAGCCAATGTTGACATTTGAAATCACCAAAACAAACACGCCCCTACCCCAAAACGGTCTCGCCCCTATTTTGATAGCTCCGCCCCACACATACGTACACAACCCAGGCAACGATTAGTTCTGTGAAACAAAGCAAAACCAATGTTACACCGTGTCTACACCGGACGCGAGTGGCGTGGCGCGACAAAATACTATAGAACTCATTATAATCAGTGATGCTGTCTACACCATAGATATATATATACATATCTATGGTCTACACTGGATGCGGCGCGGCACAACACGACAAATCCCCGACAGAAAACTGCTGCTGCGTTCTATTTATGACGTATTGACACAAATTTCAAACGGTCGCTTTGTCGCGTCCAGTGTACTAGACAAGACTTTAGCTGTTGCGGCGCAGACACGGTGTTTACTCACCTATCGAGAAGAAACAAAGCAACCTCGGCATCCTATCGCAGGCCTTCCGCTCCTTGAATTCTCTCCAGCACTGGAAAGCTGATCCGATACACGGGTCCGTCCTACTTCTTGCCTTAAGCCTTCTTTTGTTCCGCAGACGGGAGAAGAAACAAAGCAACCTCGGCGTCCGATCGCAGGCCTTCCGCTCCTTGAGTTCTCTCCAGCACTGGAAAGCTGATCCGATATTTACACGGGTCCTACTTCTTGCCTTAAGCCTTCTTTTTGTTCCGCAGACGTTTTCCTCTTTTGTTTTTTATCCGCCATCTCTATCTTTCTGTCTCTCGGCTCGGCTAATGTGCCCGTCCTGTGCACTAAACGCTCTCTCCTCCACATCATGAGTAGACACGCCCCTTACTGCTGATTGGCTACAAGTTTGTTTTGCTACTCGGCCCGAATCAGTTTTCTAAAGCGTTTTTGAAAAATCGCTTACCCCACCTTTAATTCAATTAACTTATTGTGTACCAGTATTATCTTATTATGACTGATATAGTTATAGTTTCTGTTAATATTTTGAATTAGATTTTTTTTTATATTTTCACTTTAATTTTAGTTGAAGTTTTAGTACTGTTGTTGTGTTTTTGTTATTTTTTATTATTTTTTTAACAGTATATTTATATGTATTAATTAGTTTTAGTTATTTTAGTACTCCTAAACTAAACAAAAATGAGAAGTGTTGGCTCGGCCACTAGCTGAAATGAAATATATATTGATTGATTGACTGATTGAAAATATGCCTAAACAGTTTTTATTAATTTTTATTTCAATTTAAGTTTTAGTTATTTTAGTACAACAACTTTAAATTAAATAAGTTCAAGCTGAAATAAATTTTTTATATATTTAATTTTATTTAACTGATTTTAAGTCTTTTTTATGGTTTTAGTTTTAGTTAACGATAACAAAACCTGTTGCATGCAAACATGTTTTAAATTGTACGTGCGTTTAAAAAATACCTGCATGCAATTACATCTTAAAACTAACCATACCACAAAACCAGTCCCTAATCTTAACCGCATCCCACCTCCATAGCGGCAAATGTGTTTTGCAATACACAGTAAATACATTGTACCTAACAACAAATTTTTTGACGCAAGTACATAAAAGTTAAATCACCTAAAACACAGTAAGACTATTACATTTAGCCAAATCTATGTAAAGAGCACTGTAGAATAAGGAGCTTTATAAATTAAACCCAACCAACTCCTTCAAGCTCTGTAGTGTGATATTCTCAGTCGTGTGATATTGTGACTAATGCAGGGTGTGGAGGTACATCAGACTCACCATGTCCATGATTAAATGTCCACATACGTTGCATTTGTCGGCAGACTGCTGGAAACCAGAGTACTATTAAAGACAAGAGTGAAGACAGAGGTGAGCTTTTCAACTGACTCTCGTTCCTTTCCATCACTTCATTTTCTCTAATACACACAACATTAACAGCTCAGATATAACAATTAATCTAATTTAAGAACCTTAAAATAACACAAACTGTACTTTTTGGTCTGGAAGTTTCATTCTCCCTGAGGAAATTTGCCATTTATGCACCTATAAGAGCTAGATGTGTTTTTAAAAAGCTTTTTTTTTTTTTTGCTTGTCTAAGGAAAATGTGGTAGTATTTGTATTTTTTACAACCAGCTACACAATACATACATGAATGTGGCATACCTAACCACCTCGCTACACTACACAATTATATGCACAAAACATTTAACAGCTGATCCCAAAAGTCTATTTTTTCCACTGAAATAAAATAAAAAGAAAAGCTATGACATTTATTGAAGAGGAAATACTTACACTACGGCTCCATTTGCAGATTTTTAAACAAATTAACTAAGCAAATCCGTGACATTATGTAGAAACTCTCAGATTTTCTTGCTTCCACTGAAGCTCATGATTCTCAAATACTCTAAGTCGAGTGAATTTTACTCAAATTACTCTGCTGATCATCAATTTCCTTTTGTATAAAAATGAACAAAGAAGCCAAAATAAAAACAACTCAGACCGCTGAAGCCCACTGCTGGATCCCACCGGTCTTCTTTTAAACAATTAAGCCAAGTTGAGCTAAGGTGAGCTCATAAGGTGAACTCATAACCAGGTTCATGTTTTGAAACCTGAAACCTCATGATGTCTTTAAAGACATGCTTTAGATAAGATGACACATTCTTCTGACATAACTATGAGCTATGATTGTAAGATATGTCTCAAGACATGTTGAGACATGAAAACCCCATATAAAAGAAGAGGGGAAGACAGCATACCAGGAAGTCCTCTTCACAAAAGACGTTCCCACAGACGTAGTAAAAGGCTTTCCCTCTGAGCTTTCGGCCTGCAGAAAACACACAACAAAGACATTTACCATCAATTCAGCAACATTATGGGACAATTATAATTCGTTAAAATCAAAAAGCAAAATGTTGTTTTTATTTCAGTTAGTTTCAGTAATTTTATTGTTTAGTTGTTTTTTATGTCTATATGAGGAGTTAATTTGCAAAAACAGATAACTCAAGATAACAATTTTCAAAAATCAAGTTTTTCATTGTGCATTCCAATTAATCTCAATCAAACAGCAGTTGGGTTATTTTGATTAGGTAAAAAATAACTAAAAACACAGCTAACTAACAATAAAAACATGATAACATAATAAAAAACAATTTTTGAAACAAAAAACGGATTTATCTGTTCTTGCAAATAAACTCTTCATATATTTTCTATTCATTTTTATTTCAGGTTTAGTTATTTTAGTATATCAAGTTAAACTACGTTTTGGTTTTTATATTTTATTTTAGTTAATGTTAATTTTATTTCAAGCAACAAATGTTTTTATGGTTTAAAGTGAACTAGTTTTAGTTACCTCTTATAGCCCTGGGTAACGAGGTGTTGATTGGATTTTCTTTAAACTTTTTATTACCTTTTTCCAATAAAAGGACACGAGGCTATCACACGAACTTACATGCTTTCGGCTTAAGCATAATCACAGGAGACTACAGATGTAAACACACTCACTGTCACTATCTTAGCTGTTCTCACTTAAACCTTCAGCGTAAACCTCATTAGAGAAATACCTAACAATGATATAATTGAATCTGATACATGTTTACAAGTTTAAAAAATAAATCAGAGGCTAAACTCAAAGCACATGAGGGAAAGGTTTATTGAATCCAATGAACACACAGTAAACACATTAAGAAAGTGTCAGCACTTTGCAAAATGTGCAGTTCAGACATTCGCTGCTGATTTCCAGCCCATGGTGAGGACTTCCTGTCCCAATCTGGACCGTTTTTGGCTTTTTACCTCAACAGACAGACAGACAAACCCTCCCCATTCAGACAGACCCCGTCCCACAGGAAAGGGGAACATTCCGCACATTTTCTGCAGAGGGGGGTTCAGGCCGATGCAGTTAACCCTTATAAGCCAAAGCTCAATGAAAGCCTTCATGTTGTTGCCATCCAGGCTCAGTGGAGCACAGTCAACCTACACACTTCACAGGGCCAATGAGTCTGCTGGCAACAGGAACGTTTACTTTAATGCTGAAACCATCACTGCTCAGCTGGATTTTTCAAATGATGCTTGGCAGAAACGGTTTTGTGTGAGACACACAAGTGCACAACCGTTCAAAAGTTATGGTCAGTAAGAAGTCTCTTCTGCTCACCAAGGATGCATTTATGTAATCAAAAATAAAGTAATCATTCACAGTCATATTGTGAAATATTAATTTTAAATAGATGTTTTCTATTTCAAAACAAGTCTAGGGATGCACCGAAATGAAAATTATTGGCCGAAACCGAACAAAATGAAACACTGGGCCGAAAGCCGAAGGCCGAATACCGAACACGGTTTTTCAAGTTTTTTTTCCCCCATGTATTTTGCCAATTTTTTTCACCACTGCATAAATTAAATAGCCAAAATGTGCTTTTTACTATTTTGTCTTGCTTTTCAAAGAAAAAATCAATTACAAAACAATAATTAAAAAATATTTAACACTGAACATTTTTTTTTTACATTCTAACAGACATTATACCAACAAAGCACAATTTAACTTAAAATTAATAAGTTAGTAAAATAATATTTTTTGTCCATCAGACCCCCTTCTTGAATAAGGCGTGTATTTTTGAAATGAAAGCAGCCTTGCTGAGCAGAAGGAACTTCTTTTAAAACATTAGAAAATATTACAGATCCCAATTTGAACACAATGTGTGAATGTTATAATAAATGTATTAATAGAGCTGTTGTAATTATAATTGTCTTACTTTTTATTTTATTTTACAGAACAACAGTAAAATTACCATTCTAACGTTTATGAATGTTGATGGAGTTCTTGCTTTTTCTCAACTTTTATTTTGGCGGAAACGCGCAGGAAGACCTCAATGCTTCTTTTTGTTGACAACAGCAGATTTATAAATGAGCCTCATTACGAATATGTTGCACGTATTGCATTGTCACATCATGCCTTGTAAAAATTCATAAAAATGTGACTGAGCAACTGACAAGTAACACTGGTTCAGCGCAGATTTTCCTTGCGCTTTGGACTTTGAACCCTGGTTAACAAGCAGATCCGCCGCGAGTTCGTGCAGCACTGTCAGACTCAGAATACATGCAATTCGAGCGTGAAAACATAACGTTCTGCAGTTTATTTACTAATTGTTTAAGACCATTTCACGATTTCAATCATCATACAGTAACCAGCAACAATCACCCCTTCCTCTTCTCATCGAAGACATGCGCTGCAGTACTAAACAGTCTCTCGCTGTCGGTGCTTGTAATGATTTTTGCGTCTTTCTCGGACGGTTTTAAATGCTTCTACACTGCTGTGCTGACATGTTTGTTGCATTATAAAGAGTGTGCGCCTCTCACTCTGCTCTGGTTGCTATTTGATCGCGTCACGTTATTGTTCGGTACAATTTATTCGGTCTTTTCGCTTATTTGAATAATTTTGGTTGCTGAACATTCGGTGCATCCCTAAACAAGTCACTAATTTTATCCTTTAAAACTCATCCTTGATAATCAAAATAACATATTTAAACATTTTTGGAAATGGAAATTTACATTTACATCTAGTCATTTTGCAGACGCTTTTATTCAAAGCGACTTAAAATTGGGGAATACATAAAGTTTCTTTAAATAAATCATTTCTTTAGGTCTTAAAATGGCTTGAATGTAACTATACAACCTTTACCTCATTTAGTACACACCATAAATTAATATGCAAATTAGTCCCTGCCTCCATCCATTCACACCAGCTCGAACCTGCTCCACTTAATAATAATAATAATAATTTTTATTTATATAGCGCCTTTCCAAAACTCAAGGTCACTTTACAAGTCAGGTTTAAGGAACAGAAACAAATAAACATCAATACCAGAAGACAGAACACATACCAAGAGCTGAGAGTTATACAGAGACCACTTACAAAGTTAGATTAGAGATACAGAGAGAATGTAGATAAACATCCATAACAGGGTACAAATTACAGACTGAGAGCTGAAGAGTAATACTCAGAGAAAAAATTTGTTTTTAAGAGGTTTTTGAAGGAGAGAAGGGAGGATGCTTGACGGATGTTTTGGGGAAGAGCATTCCACAATCTGGGAGCCACAACACTGAAAGCTCTAGCTCCCATAGTCACCAGACGAAACTTAGGGGTGACTAACAATCCCTCACTAGAAGATCGTAACGAGCGGGCAGGAACATAAGGCAGAAGTAAGTCAGATAAATATGTAGGACCAAGGTTATGGAGAGCTTTATAAGTGAGAATTAGTATCTTGTAGTTTATTAGTAGAATTAGTATCTTGTAGTTTATTAGTAGAATTAGTATCTTGTAGTTCAAGGAAACCGGAAGCCAATGAAGGTGATAAAGGATTGGGGTAATGTGATCGCTCTTTCTTCTGTGGGTAATCAAGCTAGCCGCAGCGTTTTGAACATATTGTAGTCGTTTGATATTATTAGCTGACAGGCCATAAAGAAGTGAATTACAGTAATCTAGTTGAGATGTGACGAAGGCATGTGTAACAGTTTCAG